GACTGGGGTCAGTGTGAAGTTGGGGTAGGGGTAAGGACCAGGATGGAAGGGGCTGGTCACACGTTGAGCCTCTATTAACCTGGATTCTGCCCAAGCAGAATCTACCGAAAAGGCAGTGGGTGGTACGGCAAAGCCCATTCAGGCTCAATTCCAGCTTGTGGCACCTGCTCCCTTCTTGCAACATTGGCAGATCTGTAGTCTCCATGTGGAGGCCTGATCTAAGGCTTCAGGGCATCATGAGAAACCTGAGATCAGACGTGGGGATGGACTCACCCACAGTCAGAATGGATCAAAGTCAGAGCTTGTGCCTTGAGGTCATTCCTAGGGTCTTTCCAGAGACTAACCCACATGGAACTGGTGAGTGTCCGACTGGGGTCAGCCGCCCACTTTGTTCAGCTTTGACCTTAAGCCCACCACCCAAGACAAGTAAATATCAGATAAGGGTTCCTCTTTTCTAGATGAGAGCAGTGAAGATCAGAAAGGTAAAAGCACTTGTCCAAGAATGCCCAGCATGCCGGTGGCAGAGCAGGACGGCCCCAGACGGATGACTCCTACCCCAGTGGACCATCAGGCCATGGAACACTGCAGCTCTGTCGACTTGGGCATCTGACCTCATCACACTGGACAGGAACACCACGGCATGCTCTAAAGGTAACTGCTGCATTTATGGTTTAATTTTTTTCACTTTTATTAAACATAGATTCTTTTTTCATACAAAATAATTGGAATAGCTTCCCCCTTCCTCTTCTCCTCCTAGTTCATCCCAGCATTTACCTTTAAATTAATTAAAATTAAGAAAACTGAAAGCCAGTCCCCAGCACAGAGTCTTTACTTCTTTGACCACCCGTTAACAATGACTGCTTTAATAAACTGAGCTCTTCCAACCAAGCCCTTCCCCAGGGTCTTTCTGTGAGCCGGCTTTTCCACCAGGCTCCCCAGCTCCCAAGCCCTGGCCTCCTAACCCACCGGCTGCTGTATGGAGGTTTGTTTTCCCCACAGGGCACCAGCTTCACTCTGAATGCAGTTACAGTGTGTCTAAGGCCGGCCCTGGGGCTCCAACCTCACCCACCTGTAACGCTGTCCCTAAGTGATCGTGCCACTCCTTCCTTAATAGTGCTCTGTGCCACCCGTTCCTGACTCCACATGAATCTTAGCTGGTATTCCGTTCTGCAGTTCCCACCTCGGTCTTTCAGTAGCACTCTACTTCTAGTTCTCTATTGGTTAGCACGCTCTACTTGCTAGCTCTCTATTGGTTAACACGCTCTACTTGCTAGCTCTCTATTGGTTAGCATGCTCTACTTGCTAGCTCTCTATTGGTTAGCACGCTCTACTTGCTAGCTCTCTATTGGTTAACATGGTCTACTTGCTAGCTTTCTATTGGTTAGCACGCTCTGCTTGCTAGCTCTCTATTGGTTAACATGCTCTACTTGCTAGCTTTCTATTGGTTAACATGCTCTACTGGTTAGCTCTCTATTGGTTAACACTCTCTACTTGCTAGCTCTCTATTGGTTAACACGCTCTACTTGCTAGCTCTCTATTGGTTAACACTCTCTACTTGCTAGCTCTCTATTGGTTAACACACAGAACTCTTGCTCCTCAAGACTACATGCTGGTCCTCTGTTCCAGGCCCTCTGCCCTCTACTCTTCACCCGAGCCCGCCTGCTCAAACAGCACTGCCTCGGAGACAGGAGTCACTGACATCCTCCTAGTTCCTGTCGCCGTCTGGTCACGCTGGATGGGAGAGTTCAAAGCCAGGGTCCTGCACCTTTGGGATGGTACCACCCAAAAAATGCTCAACAGAGCCCTGGGATGGGCAGCTACATGAACTGAGAAATGAGAGCCAGATCCAGGCCTTGGGCTCCTGCAGACAAGCATGGGACATTTTACTGTTGTGGAAATGTTGGGTTTGACAAGGCCTGGACCTGTGAGAGACAGGGACCTGAAGCCCAGCTCCACAGAGTGAAGCAGGGAAGAGTAGCTGAATTCTCAATCACAAAGATGGCAGAGGCAGAAAGACAGATCATAAGTTTGTTTTTGCTGGAAGCACAGACAGGGTTCTGAGAAACGGAATTTATTGTGAATCACCTTATTCTACAAGAAAGGAAACTGGGGGGCTGGGAGATGGCTCAGTGGGTAAAAGTGCTTGCTACCCAAGCCTGTCAACTTGAGTTCAAGCTCTGGAACTCACACAAAAAGCTGGATGTGGTGGCGTGCAAAGAAAATGGAGAAGGAGAGGCAGGAATTCCCGGTAAGATCTCTGGCCAGGTAGCCTAAAGTACACACCAAAGTGGCAGAAACAAGAGAGACCCTGCCTCAAAACAAAGTGGGAGACTCCATTTATCCTCTGGATTCCATATACACAGGTATGTGTGTGCCTGCATTCACACACATGGATGGAGGGAGAAAGGAAGGGAAGAGAAGAAGGAAAAAGGAAGGAAGGAAAGAGGGAGGGAGGGAGGGAGGGAGGAAGGGAGGGAAGGAAGGAAGGAAGGAAGGAAGGAA